ACACCACAATCCCTTCTCCTCCATTCTCCTCTCGGGATCTTGGGCACGCACGCACACGCACCTGGCATGAGTTTAAGTCACCGGGTCCAGGACTCGAACCGCGGTCGACTACATGGGAGTCCAATGACATAGCCATTACGCCAACTGCTGGTCCCGTATGATGCTGTATTCTAAAGGCTGGGATCACATAAGAAGCCTGAATTCAATTCCATGCCCCACCTAAAGGTTAGGCAAGGTGGTAGGCACCTGTAATCCCTGACTCCCAGACAGGAGGCTGAGGAGGGAGATCCTGAGCTTATGGCTGGTCTGGGCAATATGAAGACACTGTAAGAAAAGAATGGAAGGGAGAGTGGAGAGAGGAGGGAGAGTGGGGAAAGGAGGAAAGAAAGAAGGAAGGGAAAGATACATCATTTAGCAGATAAAACTTTTAAGTAGACATAAAACAAAAAGTATTTTGTTTCTTCAATGCAAAGGTCATATTTTCTTTTTTTCTTTTTAAAAAATTGCCAGAGAGCACATGCATTTATAGGACAGAGAGAGAGAGGGAGAGAAAGCACCCCCTATGGGGAATAGTAATGCCACACTCTCTTCTCTATTTGTCCCTCCTTTGGGGATTTTGGGCACACACACATGCACCTGCTGTGTTTCTGAAGCCGCCCCGTCTAGAATTCAAACAGCACGGGTTGGCTGTCTTCACGACCACACCAAGGGCTGACTACAGTTAGAATTTCGGCCCCAGCAGCTTGAGAAACATGCCAGGTTAATGTGTGTGTTCAAATCCTGACAGGAGGGAGAAGTGTAGAAAAGATTATAGCATGACTGCCCCATTAGTGCGGCTTTCTCCCTCTCCCTCTGTCTCTGTTTCTCTCTGGCAAGTGCAAGCACCCTCTGGCAATTAAAAAATTTTTTTAAGGATAAAAACTACTGCAGAGTCTATTTTAAATTCTCATGGCTGGTCCCATCAGAATGCAGACTGTGTTTGGTTCTTTCTTTCTTTTTTTTTTTTTTTTTAATTTTTTCCTAGGCCTGTGTGCTCACCAGAAAGACAGCGAGAAATCACCTCCCAGGAAGGATGGCCACACCACAATCCCTTCTCCTCCATTCTCCTCAAGGGATTCTGGGCACGCACACACACAGGACTCAAATTGGGGTCGACCGTGTGGGAGTCCAGCGACATAACTGTTATACCATATGCTAGTCCCTGTGTTTGGCTCTTAATGGTAAACTGGCAATTGGACCAGATTTTATTTCTCAGTAAAACTAATTTACTAAAGTAACCAAAGCCAGATGTGATTCATTTTCTTCTCGAGAATCACATGAAGCAGTAGGGACAGTCTCCTAGTGCCTGTTTGCTAAAACCCAGAGAATTAAGAATTCATCTTGAATACTACTTAAATAGGCCCAGGTATAATTGTTTTTTATTTTGGACAAAGATATTTTAAACAGGTAAGAAAAACAATAAACTAAAAATGTTAAATACTTTTGAAAAAAGACTGACTCAGTGGCCTGGTCAAGGGAGAAACCCTCCTGGCATAGGACTGCCTGTGCTCAAAATCCTGACAGGATGGTGAAAGGGAAGAGAAGGAGTTGCAGCGTGCCCACACCTCATTGGGGGTGTTTTCTCCCTCTCCCTCTCCCTCTCTGTTACTCTGTCTCCCTTAGGTGAGTGTGCAAGCCCTCTATCCAAAAAAATTGAAAACAAACCTAGCCTAGTGGTGCAGTTGGCATCATACTGAATTGCAGTGTTGGAAGACACACGGCGCAGCAAGGGTTCAGGCCCCGGACCTGGCTGATCTGATACATACTGGGTGTGCGCAGGCACGTCCAAGAGCCTGAGGAACTGGAGGACTAGGGAAAGGGGATGGCAGTATGACCAAGTGTGCTCCTTTCTCTCAAGTACCCACATGAACTTGCTGTAATGAATAAATAAAACTTGAAAAATAAGAACTTAAGGGATCAGCAGATGGTGTAATGATTATGTTGCTGGACTCCCACGTATTTGACCATGGTTTAAGTCCTGGACCTGGCGGCCTCAAACTCATGCTGGGCCCATGTGCATGCATGCCTAAGAATCTAAGAAGTGCCCGATGTGAGTTTAAGCCACCGGGTCTGAGACTCAAACCGCAGTTGACTACGTGGGAGCCCAGTGGACATAGCCACTATGCCAACTGCTGGTCCCAGCAATGAATACCTTTTAATACTGCTTGAATGGTTAAAATATTTGCATATATAACTCCTATTTTCTTTAACACTGGGGATTTATCTGAGGTTATAGGCCATTTTCTTTTCCTTTGTATGCTTTTCCTGCATTCTTAAAAAACATGTAACTTAAAAAGAATTACATATAAAAATACCCTAACAGTGGGACCAGCAGATGGCATAACGGTTAGGTTGCTGGACTCCCATGTGTTCAATGGTGGTTCAAATCCCCAACCTGGTGGCTTGAAACTCAAGACACGCCTGTGTGGCCATCTCACTTTCTGTCTCTCTGTCTCTGTCTCTCTGGCCTAAAGCAAAAATGTGCCCTAAAGCAAAAATCTCTCAAAAAAAAAAAAAAAAAGGAATCCTAGCAAACTTTAAAAATCTTTAAAACTTGAATGAATTAAACCTAAAAATGCTTTAAACAAAAAAGGTGATTGGGGCCAGCAGGTGTCATGGTGGTCAAGGCAGCTGGATCCCTCATGGCCAGCACTGCGGTTCAAGTCCTAGAACCAGCAGCTTGAAAATCACACTGGGCATGTGCGTGTACGTGGTCAAAATCCCAAGAGGAGAATGGAGAAGGGACTGTGGCATGGCCATTGCCATGGGGACTGATTTCTCACTTTCCCTCTCTCTATCTCTTTCTAGCAAGTGCTCATGCCCTGAAGCAACAACTAAGAATTAAAAAAGAGATTGTCAAGCATTCTTTCAAAACATTTATTTCAAGTAGACAACTACATGTAAGAGAATTAAGTCAAACACCTTCAGAAATACACTCATTTAGTTATTAAAACATGAAGAAATTCAAATTAATTTTACATTAGATACTTTAATTGAAAAACAGTGTTATCCATTCAAGTAACAAATTCAGTAAGAAGAGTTCACGTTCAACATTCTATCTATTCATCTACGCAGCTCTTATACAATTATCATATGCATATTTATCCAGAATTACCCCTTAGAAATCTGTATCTTATTTGTTGTTCTTATGGAAATTATTCAATGTTTTGTTTTTTTCATACATAATTTTCTTCAGAATGCAACTAAGCTACCACAGCAACCCTTGGACATGCATTGAAATTGGGATTTATTATTAAATCATGTTTATAAAAGCTAAATGATGAGTCCCAAGTTAAGTGAGAGGTGAGGATTGGTTAGTAACCTGCCCAGGAATGATCTGTAATCTGATCAGCAGAGTGACAATGCTAAGCCAGCTCTGTAGGCTGGCCCTCCCTGGTAGCAACCCATGTTGACACAAACCTTCTTTATCCAAGAATCCTTTCTCAGGTATGCATGAGTGAACTGTAAAGGAATTACCAGGAGAAAGAAAAGTAAAAGCTGAGTTTCTGCCAAGAGAGGAGTGCCAGCTGCAGGTGGCCAAAGCAGCCCAGCCCCTGTAAATGCAGCAGAGGACACAGAGTCATGACCTGCTGTCCCAGCTCATGGAGGTGTCCAGAGCTGAGCCCAGGAGGTGCTGAGTGCTGAGGTGGGACGGTCAGTTCACTTGGGGGAGGAGAGCTCACTGCCCCCTGGAGAGTCACTGTGGGGGAGCTTGCTCCTACTGTGGAGGCCACTCCTTCCTCCTGGCCATCCTGGCTCTATGGGCTGGTATCTGCCCGTTGCCCCTGGGCCACCTGCCACTGGATCTTCTGTCTCCTGGCGCTGAAGGTAGAAGGGCTGGGTTTCTTCTTGCTCTTCCTCATCTGAGTCAGACTCATCGTTGTAGAAGTGAATTGTGGCTTGCACTGGAAAACTAGCCAGCACCTTTTCCCCAGAACTCTGCAGATATTCTTGACGCTTTGAAATGGGTAAATAAAGTCTAATATTTAAGAAACAAATACACCGTTAACCAACCTGAAAACACAACAGTACTATACTCCTCCTAGAGGATCCTTTTCCCTAGAAGCTGCTAGCTCCCTAATCTTCTCTGATTTTGCCTTTACCACATAATGGTTTTTGTTTTATTTCTTTATTCCTCCCGTGGGAGAGAGAAACAGAGACAGGAGAGACAGAGAGCGAGCACCTCTAGAAGAGTCTTGATGCCTGATACACACCCAGCGTTCAGCCAGCCCTGGATTACAGGCAAGTTCCCGCCCTGTGTACGAAGGGAGGTCTCCAGACTTGAATGGGAACCTTCCCGTGTGGAACTGCCTGCCAAAGCACTGTGTTTTACCACTGCACTGCTGTCTCTTTTTTTGTTTTGTTTTGCTTATGAGAAAGTGCACAAGGGAGGGGGGCAGGTATTTTCCACAGAGTTTGGTTACCTCGTAATCCTCCTGCCTCAGCCTCCCAGTCAGCTAGGACCCCAGGCAACCCTCCTGGCCTAGTTTGTGTCAGGAGCAGATGTCAGCCACCATGGCATGCCTTCCTGCTTGTGCCACTGCAGCGAGACGCACACAATGTTGTTGTTGTTGTTGTTTAAAGAATTATTTATTTAATTTTATTTATTCATTCATTTATTTTCAATTTGAGAGAGAAACAGAAAGAGAGGAAAAGTGAGATAGCAAGCTACCAGGTCCAGTCCTCGAACCATGGTTGGCCACATGGGAGTGTCCAGTGCCTTAACCATCACACCACCCCACTGGTCCCCACACAATGTTTTTAAAAAGTTACCAGAACATGGAACTGAGGGCACCTGACTGGAAAGACCTGGAAATACACACCATGCTGGTTCCGAAATGAGCTGTAACCTGGATGTGCAAATCAAGTTAGGCCAGCGCAGGGAAAAGGTAGTAAGCTTCAATGAAAGTAGAAAGCAATGAAAAACATGGAGCTCCAAGATAAAAAGTCCACTCTAGTCAAATGGAAACACTGACTTGTCTTGGATAATGAATGTCCTACTTGGGTTAGGCCTGCTCCCCTCACCCAACCCCTGAAGCCTGAGAAACACTATAAATAAACCTTTTGGGCTCTGATGGAAACTTCACTTGAAACCCTGGTCTAGAGAAGTATCTAACTTTTCCAGATGTTGCCATAGAGAGGCTGGAGGGATGGGTACCTTGCTCTGCCACAATAGAAAAGACGAGCTTGGAAGAAAGACGAAAGAACAAAAAAATGCTTAAATATATGTAATTCAGAACCCGTTAAGTTTCAGGGTTTTTGGATTTAGGATTCCAGTTATACACTGGAAAGTATTTAAATAGTCCCTCCTCCCTATAATATCTTATTTTTATACTTTTGTTTGTTTTTGTTATAGGGCATCTGTACTCACCAGAGACAGAGCCAAAGAGAGAGAGAGAGAGAGAGAGAGAGAGAGAGAGAAAGTGAGAAAGCATCCCCCCCTCCTTCCACTCCAGGAGGGATGACTAATCGCTTCTCTTCCACTCTTCTCTTCCACTTTCCTCTCAGGATTTTGGGCATGCACACACACATGCCTGGCATGTTTTCCAAGCTGCCAGGTCCAGGACTCAAACTGCACAGTCAGCCCCATGGATCCAGTTCCCCTAACCCCACACCATCAGTTGGCACTTATTCTTGCACTTTTTACTCACTAATTTTGCATTTTCCCCTGTAGTCCTATGAGCACATGAAAAAGTTTGTTGATTGGAGAGGTTTTTGCTAAAGGGAGTGTGCCCTAGCCAGAAAGACAGACACAGAGAGACAGAAAGCAAGAAATCAACCCCCAAGGGGGATGGCCATGCCGCAATCCCTTTTCCTCCATTCTCCTCTTGGGATCCTGGGCATGCACGCACATGTGCCTGGCATACCGGGTCTGGGACTCAAACTGCAGTAAACTACATGGGAGTTCAGCGACATAGCCATTATGCTAACTGCTGGTCCCTGCAAAACTAATTTCAATACCCTCCATCCTGGGTAGAGGAGAGAAGAGAGAGAATAAACACTCTGCTATAAATAATGTATAACATAAAATTAACTTCCTAAGATTCCCAGTAGACCAGAGGTTCTCAACCCCCAGGAGATGTCTGGAGATATTTGTGGCTGTCAGAACTGAGGGAAGGATACTGTATTGAATGAATGCAGGCTAAACATCCTACAATGCCCAGGACAGCTTCCACAACAGAGCGAGTCAGTCCCCAAGAGTCAACACTGGGAGATTCTGCCACAGACAGAATCTAAGACTGAAATATGAGCTTAGTTTAGTTTTCAGCCATGTTTGAAATTAGGTGTTTATGCTGAAATATAGTAGGTGGGTTAGTAAGATGTCTGTGATTTTTGCATTAAATTTTGCTAACAATGAGCCAGACAGTGGTGTAGTGGTTGGGGTAGCTCGATCCCACATGTCTCATTGTGTGATTCAAGTCCTGGTTCCTGCGGCTTGAGAAGCATCCTGGGAACATGTATGTATAGATCTGAAATCCTGAGAGAATGGAGAAGGGATTGTGGTATGGCCATCTCCCTGGAGGGTGCTTTCTCTCTCTCTCTCTCTCTCTCTGGTGAGCACATGTGCCCTATAGCAAACATTTAAAAACTTGCTAATAGCAATGGTTGGGAAGTAGTAAGCATGATGAGATGAGAATGCTGATAAAGTGAATCAGGGATGATAAATTGAATCAGGTCTCCTAGGGGAATCACCCAGGCCTCTGTGCTTCTAAACGTTTCCCCAGTGAGGGTCCAGCAGGTGGCGTGGTGGTTAAGAGTGTTGGACTCACACATGGCTGACTGCCATTTGAGTCCTGGACCTGGTGGCTCACTTTCTCACTTTCCCCCTCTTTCTTACTCTATCCCTCTCTGGCCAAATTAATAAATAAATAAGATTAAATAATTCTTTTTTTTAAAAAAAGTTTCCCCAGTGAGTCTATGAGGATTGAAAACCGCTGGTGTAAGGGATACCAAGAAAGCTTCCTTTTCCCAAAAGCCACTCAAGCCAATCTGAGGGGCTCTATATTTCATCACTAGAAATGAGTTGCTTGGGGTTGTATTAAAGCTTTCTAGTCTTTCAGGATGTCTGGGGTAAACACACAGGAGAGGTGGCAGTACAGGCTTGGTTAATTTTGGTACAAACAAGAGATAAGAAAAGACAGACTGAGGGGCCCAGAGGTCGCATGATGGTTGGGGCACTGGATTCCAACATGGTGGACTGTGGTTTGAGTCCCAAACCTGGTGGCTTTCTTTCTTATTCTCTCTCTCTCTCTCTCTCTCTCTCTGGTGAGCACATGTGCCCTACAGCAAATCAAATAAAAAAAAATTGTTTAAAAAAAAGAAAAAGAAAGACTGAGAATAAGAGGTAGTGACAGACAGATATAAATCATAGCCGGGACCAGCAGTTAATGTAATGGCTACGTCGCTGGACTCCCATGTAGTTGACCATGTTTCGAATCCCAGACCTAGTGGCTTAAACTCATGTCGGGCACATGTGCATGTGTGCCAAAGATTCTGAGAGGAGAATGGAGGAGAAGGGATTGCGGTGTGGCCATCCCTCCAGGGTGAGGGGAGGGTGATTTCTTACTTTCTATCTTTCTGTTTCTCTCTGTCTTTCTGGCGAGTGCACATACCCTATAGCAAAAACCTCTCCAAAAAAAAGAAAGAAAGAAATCATAGCCACTTGCCTAAAATTTAAGTGGGCTACAGCAGCAAAAAAGAGGAGAGTCTTTTTACTTTTTTTAAAAAGAGATATTTTTGCTGTAGGGCACATGTGCTTGTTGGAGAGACATGTGCTTTCAGAGAGACTGAAAGCAAGAAATCCCCCAGGGGGATGACCACTCCACAATCCCTTCTTCTCCATTTTCTTGGGATCTTGGGCATGCACATGTGCCACCATTCGTTTCAAGCCACCAGATCCTGGACTTGAGCTGCGGTTGCCCATGTGGGAGACCAGTGATATAACTATTATGCTATCTGTTAGTCTTGAGAGTCTTTGTCACTGCCAGGATGCACAACCACAACCAAGAGGCCAAAGGCCCTCTCAAATGTTCTCAGGACTCTTTGAGTGGAGACCATACATCCCTTCCCTTATTTACTCAACACATAGAGGTGTTTCATTTTATTTATTTTTTTTTAAGAGAGATTCTTGCTTTAGGGTATGCATACTTGCCAGAGAGACAAAGAGACAGAAAGCAAGAAATCACCCTCCAGGGGGATGGCCATGTCACAATTGTTCCCTTCCATTCCCCTCTCAGGATTTTGGGCACACACATGCCCTGCATGAGTTTTAAGGCACAGGGTCCAGGACTCAACCATGCTCAACTATGTGGGAGTCCAACTACATAACCATTATGCCATCTGCTGGTCCCAACACATAGAGATTAAAGGTCTACTTTGCACTAGACTACGTATTAGCTTTTATCTCAGAAGAAAAATAGACATATACCTCAAGATCTAGGTAAATAAATATATGCATATACAATTCATGTTCAATGAAGTCTGACACATGGTGTAATGTGTAATGAAAGGTATAAACAAAAGATTTAAAGCAAAGAGATAAGCCAATTCCAACTTCCAACTAAAATATTCAGTGGACACATGGATGGAATCCAGAAATCCAATAAAATATCTCTGAAGTTCCAGGTATAGGAAACTAAATAATACTGGAGAATATGTTAAACTATGCCTCACTCTGTTGAAAATGTATACAATTGAAGGCAATAAATATGTTAATGCATATATTAAAATGAAATGATAGATTTCTTATTGTGAAGTCATATATTACCTCACAGGATGCTGAAACCCGAAAGCTCCCTTTGATCCAAAAGTGTGTTGGTCACCCCCAGGGTCATACTGTAAGACAGACACAAACAAACACAGACATAGTCAAGGAGCCTCTGAAGATACCATTCTGATGTTTTAAACAATAAAATCTAAGTATTCTGCAACTGTTAGTATCAGTACCACTTTTACAGAGAGTTTAACACCATAGTGGTATTTGCTGAGCCTTCTTCCTTTGCTGCCATGTCTCAGGAACAGTAAGGGCCTTAAACATAGAAAGAATATGACATAGTACCTCACACCAGGTGCTTTAGAATCTCTCGGGGAGAGACATATGTCTGCAAGTATCTATACTGCACAACAAAGATGGTAAGACATCCCCAATTCTAAGTGGGGAGGAGGGTCAGCGAAGGATTCGTGGGGTCCTAGCAAACCATGTGTGGCATGTGGCATGTGGGCGTACAGATCTGACACTATTTCTGGCAAAGGAGAGCATCAAATTCAGAGGGAGTGAGAAACAGAGGGCACAGATGGGGACAGTGAGGAGCCCAAATGTGGACAGAATGAATCTCGGTGCTGGCCAAAGGGCTCCAACGAGAACTGAGTTCCATTACAGAACCCTTGGCATACACCCCCACGCACTGTGTTTAGGTTCAATTCTGAGCCTGGGAGTTCAGCCCTCAGATCTGTATTTTAAGGATAATGTGGCTGCTGGGTGGTCCACATACACTACCTTGGTGAAGTATGGGCTTTGGTACTGTCTTGGCAAGGGATGATATAAATCTGAACTCAAGTAACAGGGATATGATGGGAAAAGAGAAGCAGATTCCAAGTACCCTTCAGTAATATTCAAAAGGCCCACAACCGCTTGAGTATCAGGAACCAAGGAGAGGGAAACTGGTCTGAACAGCAGGCAGCTAAGGACAATGTTAATGAGGACACAACACAGCAGAGGGGTAGGCTTGCCCATGCTATTGCTAACCATAGAGCCCAGGAAATGAGAGACATCACCCTCTACCTATCCAGGGTTGACCTTGTTCTGCCCAAACTCCTGAGCATGCCAGGCTTGCATGAGGTGGCCTGGAGGATGACTAGGTTGTCTGAAGGGTTGAGGAAGTCATCATTTAATCTTGGGTCTTTGAAAGCTTAGTTACTATGGGGAGTGGGATGTCCAAGGAGAACTATCCTGGGATGACATGAAAACAAACTGATGTGGGTCAGGGTGGTGAATCAGAAACCTTGAGCTCTTGGATCCCATGGAGTCTAGGGGGAACCAGATGAAGAATGGGACAAAACCTGCTGTAGCATGAAAAGAAGGAACTCTGAGAATTTTATCATAAGTCTCCATGCCATTCCATTCTGTAGGGGATATTGGCACGCACGCATGTGTGTGTGTGTGTGTGTGTTTGTGTGTATGCACATATGTGTGAGTAAATTAGCCTGCAGGGAGCTTTTGGAGACATTATAATTTATCAGTCATATTTTTATAATACATTGTGTGTGATGAGCTAAGGTAAGTGAAACAAAGCTCACTGGAACAAAACCCCACAATGACGTTCACTCTTTGAGGGCTACAGGAAGCCACTTCCATGTTGAGCTCTGTCAGTGATTAGTAAATGTCCCTAGTGGCTCAGGCTCACTAACACAGGAAAGAGTCCTGTCCTGCTACAGATGGTTTTGTGCCCTGTGGTAGTACAGGGTCTAACTCAGTGCAGACTTTGGTGGACACCAAAAGGCAGTGGTAGGAGACACACACAAAAATAAATAAGTTCCTTAAAGCATTTGAGTCTAACTAGACTCTGTGAAACAGACAATACACTTTATAGATTTTTTTTTTTTTTTGCTATAGGGCGCGTGCGCTTGCCAGAAAGACAGAGAGAGATAGAGAGACAGAAAGCGAGAAATCACCCCCCCGGGGGGATGGCCACACCACAATCCCTGCTCCTCCATTCTCCTCTCAGGATCTTGGGCACGCACGCACACGCGCCCAGCGTGAGTTTAAGCTGCCGGGTCTGGGATGCGAACCACAGTTGACTACGTGGGAGTCCAGCGACTTAGCCATTATGCTAACTGTTGGCCCCAATACACTTTATAGATTTTAAAAACCTGACACCACAAACATACTCAGCTTTAAAATTTTTAGGCCACAAAAATCCCAAATATTTTCCAAAAGGTCTTATTAAAGATCCTTTCTGTTCTTTGGTCTCAGCCACAGGAGCAAGATGACAAAGGGAACATCATCATTTGGAAAGTGTTGCAATAAGATGCACACACTATGCCACCGCTCTGATTCTAAGGCCTACCACCTTTAGGAGTCCACCTGTGGCAAATGTGGCTACCCTGCCAAGCACAAGAGAAAGTGTAACTGGAGTGGCAAGGCTAAAAGACCAAATACCACTGGGACTAAATGAATGAGGCACCTAAAAATTGTATACTGCAGATTCAGGCACGGATTCTGTGAAGGAACATCACCCAAACCCAGGAGGGCAGCTGTTGTAGCATCCAGTTCATCTTAAGAATCTCAACAATTAGTCAGGCAATAAATGTTCTGGTTAAAAAAACAAACAAACAAAAAAAAAACAATCCTTTTCTGATGACAGAAATGTCTAAATACTCAGGTTTTGATCATTAATTAGGAACAGAAATGTTGTGTTAAGTGTGTGTATGTGTGTTTTCCTAAGTGCAAAGGAATGGATACAGAAGAGGGTCCTGCTCCTTACCCCGGCCTCTGTCTGGACTAAGACTAAAGCATGGGAAGCCGGGAGATAGGACAGGGCCAAGGGAACACACAGTGCCTGCCATCTTCCAGGAAAATGCCTTCCTCATAGTGCTGGCCAGTGGCCTGGAGGAACATGTAACCCAGGTCAAGAAAGGTTTAGCATGTCATTCATTTTTCCCAGGCAAAGGAGGGACACAGTCCTCTAAAGAGGCAGAGGCACCAAGTGAATGAGTGTGACCCTACAGCTCAGGAAACAGGGCCTTGAGGTCTTCCCTCAAATTTATACTTTTTCCTAATTTTAATCTACTTTCCAGTTCAGATCATCAGGCTATAGCTCCCTTTATCATTTCTTGAGAGAAATGCAGAACAGAGCTCTGGTGGCAAGACATTCTTCTGTTTGGGGGAGGGCATTGTTGAGCTGCCAAGGCCCCCCAGGGCTGATAAGTCAGTGCCACCACTGGGCGAAGAGCTGGGCATTAGTGGGAGGCAGATGGGGCCTAAAGTGAGTTTTGTAGTCCCCACAGCACACCCACCCTCCCCACACCCAAATCCAAGGACATAACTGTTCATCCAGTGTGATGATAGAAGCTGATCATAATAGTGATCAACTTGCAAGTTGCTGCAACTTAACATTTCTCTTCATGTAATCATTTTTTCTCATGAATGGGCTTCATTATAGCAGAAAGGAAAAACAAAACCTACGTGTCTTACATTAGGAAATGTGCTACAGTATTTTTATTCTTGCACACAACTAAGAGCTTCCTCATACATTTCTTTTAAAATAAATCTGGATCACTGTAAACATCCATAAAGGGTCTTCAAAAAGCTTATGGGGGAAAAAAAGCTTATCGAAAATGTGTATCATGAAAAAATTATGCATTCATTTTAAAATTTTTGCACCCAAATAAATGTCTACCTTAATTCCACTTTTCAAAAACTTTTCAAAATATTCTCTCTCACACAAATACCTGCTAAATTTTATGTTCAAGAACTTAAATGCAAAATAGGAATTATTTTATATTATTAAGATACTGCGTGTAAGAAAAATCTGGGCTAAAAATATCATCTCTCTTGTTAGTTTGATGTAGATTTTATTTACTCTGTTCTTTCAGGTAAATAAAAGTAACTAAATTAGAACTCTCAATATTCAGATTAATTTAATAAAGTAACCTAAGTATAAAAATATGAGGAAGGCCTGCTTTCCCACACCAGAATCTTATTAGCATATACAAATATGTGCATTCTAAGTCATATCCCCATGCGATATGGAATTTAAATACATGGTACTTCCCTGCCAGATTAAGTCTTCAACATTTTAAAATCCATCATTTTACATTTTAAAATATAATAAGCAAAAGGTAAACTCTATGAAAGCAAGTCATTACTTTAATAAGTACAGACCAATTTATTTACCAGTACAGAAGAACAAAAGAATAGCGTGGCAATTAATCTTTGCCTACAAAGCCCTCTGCTTGAGTATATTTACTCAGACAACACAAGTTCCCTAGAAGTGCTTGCAGATAGGGCTGAAAGTGCTCTAGAAAGCTTTAACTGCACCGTCTGGGCACCTCAGACAGGGCCCAGCTCTTATTTGCACTGTGGCACCAGCATAGTGCTAATGGTGCACTCAGTTCTCTAAAGTGAGGGGGACTATGCAGCCCCTTCCCTCCCTCTCCACCTGCAGGTTTGCAGAAGAAATCCCAACATGGAAGAAATCCCTCATAATTCCCATGACACAGCTAAACACCGTGCTTTTCAAGAATGGAGAAACAATCAGGAGCCCAATCTATCTAAAACTCAGGTCTGTTTCATACCTTACTTATCCTGGCTCCAACTCTCAAGACTCAGGACACTCCTGGGCTAGATGACCAAAGAAGGGACAGGAGAAGGCCTTTCAGGTCCCTTATTTCAGAGATGGTGACAATTTCTGGCTGGACTACAACCAATAGTCGTATAATGGCCCACACTTTACCTTACCCGGCTTCCAGTTCTGGTCAACTCAGCACCTCCAGGGGTCAGGATCCATGGTCTCCACGGTGTGGGTCTGGAAGAGTAAACACCAGGACAGCATAAGCCCCAGATATCTTTGCTGTCTTTTGCAATGATATCATGGGGGTTATTTTTATTGCTAGTGTCTGCCTGAAAAAAGAGTCATGGGACACCCCAGAACGTTTCCTCTGGGTAGGCCAGGGCCATTTGTGTCTTTCTCTCCTGCTCCATTTCCAGCTCTCTGCCTTTGAGTAGGCTTTGAGATGGTAAATTCCAAACATAACACAATTATCAGGGACACATTAGTTGAGGGATATCTCTCCCCACTAATCTTGGCTGGATTCTTCAACTCAGGATTCTCCACTATAGTTAGCTATTTTGCCACTGGTTAGATCCAATCAGCCATCTCGGTTATTAAAGGATCTTGATGCTAGAGACAATTCTACAGTTAAACGATGCAAAAAAAAAAAAAAAAAAAAAAGGAAATCTGTTTCCTTTCCGGCTTCCTGGCCCACACAGCCCCTTCCCCACCTCACAAGCTATTTTGATTCCCTTCACTGTTACTACCTTTAAAAGGGCTGGTGCCCAGAAACTGGCGGCTGAGCCGAACACAGAGAAACACTGAGAAAGCAAAAACTGTCACCAAGAAGGTGACAACTGAGGGGATCCCTTCGCAAGGCCCAGAGACTTCAATGTTTCCCAATGCGGTGAATTTCAGATCTTCCAAAAACGCAGACCCATTTCCTTGCCAGGTACCACCTAAGCCTCCACGCATCTGAACTGTGCGTTGGAGCAGAGAGGATTTTGCGCCCCTCACTGTCTCTGGCTAAGGAACTTGCTCGGCGTCGCCGTCGAGCTCACAAGTTGTCTGTGCTCCGAAGGGCCCAGCGGCGCCAGAGCAGCTAGCTCGCTGCGTTCCCGGCACCTTTAGGGCTCGCTCCTCTCAAGTCCGCCGGGATCTCTGGGACACCCTCACCTCTCCGGCCCGCGCAGTGGCGGTGGCCCCTGGAGACCATCCCCTGAGCAGTGACAGACGCGTCCCTGCACCCGGGCTCCAGCGGCGCCCTCGGGTCTCATGGTGCTGACGGAGCCCACGCCCCTCCCGCGGCGACCGCGACTCCCCGGCGCCTTTATCCTCTCCGCCACGCGCGCGCCCCTAACGGGAAGCCTGGGGAAAAGGAAGGAGGACCAGGGAAACTCCGGGAGGAGATAAGGGAAGTCGGAGATAGGAGAAGAACAAGAAAAGGAATAGCTCAGGGACAGGGCCCGCGTGGCCGGGAGGCGGGGTAGTGAGTGTCAAGGAGGGGACTTGGGAAGCCTAGAGAAAGGCTGGGGGAATCCACCGAGGAACGCGGGGGATGGGGCGCCAGGGTCGAAGAAGCTCGGGGAAGGGACTGCGGGAAGTGACACTCCAAGGAAAGTCTGGAAAGGGAGGATCTCGATTACGGAGGGGAGTTTCCGTCCTGCGCGCTCCCTCGGGAAGGGGGTGACCGGCGCTTGCCGGAGGGGCCTCTCCTCACTCCTCTGTGGTCCCCGGGGCGCTCCGAGTTCTGGTCTGGCGCAAGCATCTACAATAGTTCCCTAGATTTCCCGACGATCTCACTTCGACCACTTTAAAGCAGCGAGCGGGCTCTGAGGTTAACTACAGAATCCTGGGGACTCCCGTGGACGAACCATGCCTTGGGGACTGGACCGTGGGCACTCGCAGCCGCCGGAGGCTGGGCGCAAAGCCTCGGCGAATTGGCTGGATAGAGGTCCTAGAGAGCACCCTTCCCACCCTAGGGGGCCTTGAAAAAGAACGTGACTTTTGGGGTCTGCAGGTGAGGTGGTGATTAAGGGCGCAGGATTCCCACGTGACTGACCGTGTCTTGGACCTGGCGGCTTGCTTTCTCCCTTTCCCTTTCTTTCTCTGTCTTTCTCTGGGCGAATTAAATTTTAAAAATTAATAATTACAAACGGAATTAAATAAATAGATAATTCTTTATTTAAAAAAAAAAGAATGTGACTTTTTAAGTAAGGATGGGGAGCGGTGGGATTCTTCGCTCCTGACTCAGCTTAGAAATTGCCCTAATCTTCCAGACAGCATCAATTTCGGATGGACTGGAGCTGCTGTGCTGGGCCCAGAGGACACTTCCGTGAGGAGGACACCCACGCAGCTGCCACCATCACCAGCAGGGTCACAGTGGCTAGGAATGCTTTTTCATCAGTAGTGCCTTCGGAGAAGGACACCTGAGGCTCCAAAGGCGGACCTGGTGGGCTTTGGACTCTTTCCTTAAATAGGATTACTCCTCAGTGTGTGGCTAACACTTTGACTGGAACCTGAAGCTTATTTTAAATTTTTTTAGAAAAATAATTATTTATTTAATTTCATTTATTATTATTTTTTAAAATTTTGCTCTAGGGCAAGTGCGCTCACCAAAGAGGAGGAAAGCAAGCTGCAATGTTCAGGACTCAAACCACAGTTCACTCATGTGGGAGTCCAGCGCCTTATCCAGCACATCACCTGATGGCCCTGGAGCTTACTTTATTGAGAGAATGGATTTTAAAAATCTAAGAATTTCAGAGGTCAAAGTGTTTCCATATTTTTTTTCTTTAAGATTTTTACAATAATTAAACCTAATTAAAGAAACAGGAAGATGCAGTCTCTGGTTTGGTGGTCAAGGGAGCGGGATCAGTCGAGGCCTACAGGGCTGTTCAATGGGGGATCAGGTCTTGAGAAACAATAGGAGAGTGTGCCTGCCGCCTGACGGGATGGGAGAAATGGGGAAGGACTGCAGGGGTGCCCCATAGTGGGGGTGCTGTCTCCTTCTCCCTCTGTCTCTGGCAAGCACATATACCATCCGCCACATTTTAAGAAATAATATATATATTTTAAAATTTCTCTTTTTTTTTGAGAGAGAGATTTTCACTATAGGGCGCGTGGGCTCACCAGACAGACAGAGAGAGACATAGAGACAGAAAGCAAGAAATCACCCCCCAGAGGGGATGGTCATGCCACAATCCCTTCTCCTCTATTCTCCTCTCGGGATCTTGAGCACGCACGCACACGCACCCTTGCGTGAGTTTTAAGCCACCAGGTCCGGGACGCGAACCACAGTCGACTATGTGGGAGTCCAGCAACATAGCCATTACACTAACTGCTGGTTCCCAAGAAATAAATTTTTAAAAAAGGCAAATGGGACCAGCAGTTGGTGTAATGGCTATGTTGCTGGACTCCCATGCAGTCAACCACGATTTGAGTCCTGGACCCGGTGGCTTAAACTCACGCTGGGGCCATGTGCTGTGATGCCCAAGATCCTGAGAGGAGAATAGAGGAGAAGGGATTGCTGTGTGGCCATTCCCCTGGGGGGTGATTTCTCACTTTCTGTCTCTGTCTTTCTGGCAATCACACACGCCCTATAGCAAACACCTCTCAAAAATAAATAAATAAATAAGGGCAAATGAGGCCTGCTGTGACTTATTGGTTAAGGAAACCAGATGCCACATGGCCTACCAGTCAACAGAATCCTGGCCCAGCGGCTTGAAACACTTGGTAGTGTGTATGTACACCCCTACTCCCTGCAGGATGCAGAAATGGAAAAGGGTTTGCAGCATGACCATGTCCTACTGGGAGGTGTTTTCTCCTTCCTCTCTCTAACAAGCACATGCAACCTCTGGCAATTAAAAAAAAAAAAAAAAAAGGCAAACATTAAAGTGGGAATTAAAAACATTACTATGTATGACTTTATACAAATTATTAAAAGGACATTGGGTATAATGAGATGGAGGGTAGAGGAAGGAAAAGAATATTAACAGGCCATATTGCAACAAAGGAACCACAGTTAATCAGCCAATGTAGAAAGGATTTTTAAAAATAATTATTTTATTTAACTTTATTTATTATGACTATTATTTTCCGATTTGATCAGAGAAAGAGAGAAGGAAAGTGAGAAAACAAGTCACCAGGTCCAGGACTTAAACCGTTGTCAGCCATAGTGGGAGTCCAGTGCCTTTAACCCCATGCCATCTGCTGGCCTAGCAGTAATAAGGATTCTTTTTAAAAGAACACTGGTTGGAAGAAGAAAAAGCGAGGTAGACTGACCAAAACTGGCACACTGTTACGTCCTGGAGTCCAGTACCTATGCCTATGTCCCCACCTGCCATTGTCACCACCATGCCCGGGAGAAAGGCTGAAGGGGATATAAAGGAGATTAAGCCAAGGTGAAGGACGGATCACAGAGATTTGCAAGGTTGTCTGCGAAGCCTGCTCCTCCAAAGTCAGAGTCCAAGCCTAAAAAGGCCCTGCAAAGAAGGGAGAGAAGGTACCCAAAAGAAAAAAGGGAAAAGCTGATGTTGGCAAGGATGAGAATAACCCTGTGGAAAATGGAGATGCCAAAACAGACCAGGCACAGAAAGCTGAAGGTGCTGGAGGTGCCAAGTGAAGAGTGTGCATTTTTGATAACTGTATTCCTGGTGACTGGACAGTTTGAAATACTTTTTTCATCAAGTTTTAGAAAAATGCAGAATTTTGTTTTACCCTTTTTTTCTTAAGCTATGTTCTTAGCACACAGAACACTTCATTGTTGTTTTGGGAGGAAGAGACATTTGTCACTAATAGAATGTCTCTGAAGCTGGATTAATTTGGACAACATCTTTCCTTTCTAGTTTTGAGAGACTTCCTCTTGGCTCCCAAGAAGAGGGTTTCCCTGATGTTAACATACATAGCCAACGTGGCACAGATGTGTGGGGTGTGGAAAACTTAAAATTGTTTTCATGTTCTCTCTCCCTCTGCCTTTAGCATAGACTTAATTCCCTTAAACCAGAGACCTGTTGAGACCTGACCACAAAACACTGGTTACCAGTGTATCAGGTAATCTGGATTTTCCAATGACATTAAGAGGGCAGCCTTCAAAAGAGCAGCATACTCTTCTATACTGTTGGATTGTCAGGTTGATAATTCTGCCATTTTCATTTCCCAAAAGTCAGGGTTGGCTCATGAAAGTTGTTAAACATGCTCAATGTGAAATGTCAACCCTCACTCTAAACTCTTCCTGTTCAGAGCATCAAATGAAGACTTCATTGGGTTTTATAGTGGCTTTCTGATTTTGGTAGTCAATTGAAGAGGGAGTTTGAAAGTTGTTGTATACTGCTAATGATTGTTTGCCCATGTCCTGCCTGAAATGCCATCATTGGGTTTTTTTTTTTTTTTTTTAGAGGTTTATTGCTATAGGGCATGTGCGTTCACCAGAAAGAGAGAGAGAGAGAGAGAGAGAGAGAGAAAGAGAGAAATCACCCCCAGGGGGTATGGCCACGCCGCAATCCCTTCTCCTCCATTCTCCTCTTGGGATCTTGGGCATGCACGCACTCGTGCCCAGAGTGAATTTAAGCCACTGGGTCCGGTACTTGAACTGCAGTCAACTACATGGGAGTCCAGCAACATAGCCATTACGCCAACTGCTGGTCCCTCTCATATTGTCGACCATGGTTCAAGTCCAGGAACTGGCAGCTTAAGACTCACGCTGGGCATGTGTATGTTCATGCCCAAGATCCCAGGAGGAGAATGGAGGAGAAAAGTATCTTTTTTAATGAAAAGTATGTTTAATAAACCTGGGTACAGTTTGGCTTGGGGAAAAAGAAAAAAAATAACACTGGGCAACCAGGTGTGCATGCTTTAAAATGGGCATCTTGCAGGTAACTGGTGGTTAGCTGTAACCAAGGTAGCTGTCTGAGAAAGTCTGATAATGTATATCACATGCCTTAAAAATGCTCATCTACTGGCCATTAATTTAATATCACTGTCTATGCTAATATAATATTTTGAAATGGAAATGTTTTCAATTACAGAGAGGTGTTCATTTTTAGTGTTATTTACACTGTTTAAAAATATAGCGGAGGCCAAATAGGGGTGCAGTGGTAACATTCCCTGCAGTGCTGGACCTACATGGAATGCCCTGGAAGTCCCCAGAGTGTCCCTGTACACGTAGGATAGTGATCAGGGCTGGTGGATTTCAGCATGAAGCCCCTGGTGGGGTTCCTTTCTCTGCCTCTTTTTTTCTCATGGAAGAAATAAATGAGTTATAAAAATATTAGCAATGTTTAGCTGGCCTATGGTACAGGGGTTAAGTACACTGTGTATAGGAAGCCAGAT